CAAAGAGGCACGCCGATCATACTGGAGTTCCCTAAGGAGAAGCTTCACCTCCGAGATTGCCCCCGAATCTCCACTGCTAGAAAACAAGGCGGTCGAGCTTCCTCCGCAACCGCTGGTAGGCATTATACTGTTTAAACTGCCGTCTCTCTACCAATAGCCTTGAAAAACCTGCTGATCCGCACTTTGGTGAGCTCCCACCACTCAGACTTACTGCCGCAGAAATCCAGCACCGTCTCCTGCGCCTGAAAGAACTCCTCGAAAGATCGTCTCACCTCCTCGTCCTCCAGCAGAGACGAATTCATCCTCCAGATGCCCTTTCCTCTCAGCGGCGTGTCTGAAATATTCAAGGTGACAGATAGCATAAGGTGATCGGAAAACTCCACCGCCTGACACTCAGGTGCCGAGAAGGCAGAGTTCTCCTTCAAAAAAAAAACCTGTCTATCCTACTCTGGCTATTACCTCTCCTAAAGGTGAAACCCGTGCCGTCTGGGACACTTTGAATCCAAGCGTCAACCAGACCTGCCTCCCTGACTATAGCATTTAGAAAATTGCTATCATATCCCAGCCCGTCAGTGAAGCCTCTCCTGTCCTTGGGCCTAGTAATGGTGTTAAAATCACCTCCAAAGACTACCAGCCGGGATGTAAAGAGGTAAGGTTTAATCCTCGCAAAGAGGTTCTTCCTGTCCCACTTGGACTGTGGGCCATAGATATTAATGAGACGGAGCTCATGCCCCCTTACGAGAACATCCCAGAATCAGACATCTTCCGATCTCTACCTCAATTATCCGCCGACACGTTACCATGCCGGTAAAAAGCACCGCAACTCCGCTGTAAAGCTCGCCGCAAGAGACCAGTAGGAGGGCCCACGCCTCCACTCACGCTTGGCCAGATGGACATCAGCCAAGGTGGGCAACCTGGTCTCCTGCAAAAAGAAAATATCAGCTTCCATCCCACTGATCAAAAATAAGGCTGTTTCTCTAGCACTTACAGACTTTATGCTGGCAACATTAATGGTTGCCACCTTTATCGGAGCGGGAACTGCCATTAAGATAATTGAGAGGGACGTTTCTTAATCCTCCTCTTGACTTTCTTGGCAGGGTCCCTCACTCTCTTAAGAGACCCCCCAGCATCCTCGTCCTCCATCGGGGAAGCGGGATCACTTGACCCCTCCTCCTCCCCCGACAAAGCCCCAAACCTATTCCCCAGGGCCACCTCCCCCGCCTCTAAAGAGGACACCGACCCTGCTGAGGACAAAACTGGCTTACTCCGCCTACCCACCAGGGACCACCCCTCCTCCACCCCGAGCCCCTACCGAGCAGAACCTTGGGACTCACGGGACTCCCTACCGGGCCTCCTACTCCGCCGCAGCGGCAAGAGCAAGGGGGGAGCAGACACTGAGGGACTAGACCTAGCCTCAACCATCCCGGCCCCTTAGGAGCCTCCCTCAGCTGTTTCTTAGTCCTGGGAGGAGGAACCGGCACACAAGGGGGAACAACAGGGGACTCCAAAGGGGTAGACGAAACAGGGGGGACAGAGACAGGAGGGGCCACAGAAACCTCCCCTTCCCTCACAAGGGCCGCCACAGCAACCGAAGCCACTCTCTCCAATGCCGCCTCCGCCTCTTCAGCATCTACCCGATCCAACTCTGCTTCAAGCTCCCCCACCGGAAGGTGTGGAGGGCCTCCGGGCACTGGTTGTATGAATGCCCAAGCTCCCCGCAGAGATTGCATCGGACAACATTGCAGTCCCTGGCCAGGTGTCCTATTTCCTGACACAGGGAACATCTAATGACGGGGCAGGGTGGCCGCAAAATGCCCCTTGCCCCCACACCGGTGGCAGACCCTCGGCTGACCCGCATAAAAAATTATCAGGCGGTCCTTCCCTAGAAAAGCGGAAGAGGGAATGTGCTGGAGCACATTTCCAACCACCTTTAAGCGGACGGTGGTCGTCCACCCACCTGTCCATATTCCCCTCTCATCCTTGATCTTCCCAAGGGGCCCCATCACATCCCCATATCTGCTGCTTAGCCAGACCACAATATCTGATGCAGGGATGGATTCATTTCTCACCAGCACCGTTATTTTTTTAATCAGGGACTGGCGAGAGACGAGCCTCGGGGTTAGGCCCACCCACCTAGGGCTGGTGACAAAGGTGGCCTCATACCTCTGCCAAAAGAGGTCCAACAATTCTGGCCGCATGAAGGACACGTCATATTCTCCAGTACCAACTGGAGCAATAAACGCAAAAATATCTGCGGCATGGAAGCCCATTCTAATATGCGGTCTATGACCTCTCTCCTGCTAAGGGGGGGGCCCTCCCCTGACCATTTCAACTGAACAACATTTCGCCTTGCGGCGGAAGTGGGTAGGTTACCTGCCCTTGCCCGGGCCGATCCCACTGACCCCTGACCTCCCCTAACTGCAGCAGAGTAACTGAGCCCCGATCTAGCCCCAGGGGCACTCAACATCAAGGGGGCATGACCAGGGGAAGCCGCCACACCAGCAGCAGCAACTGAAGGGGCAGATGCTGATGAGCCATGACCTGGGGGAGCCCGGGGCTGGGGACCACCCATACCAGCAGGAGAACCCACCTGAGCCGGACCCGCAGGAGCCTGGACCTGAGAACTTGGAGCCCCCTGAGGAGAAACCGGGGGGGACCTGCTGGTTGCACACCAGAGGCCACCATGCCCCCCAAAGGGGCGGGGCCCAGTGGGACCACCACCGGAGGGGAAACACCCTTAGCCAGGACTGTAGGGCTAACCTGCAGCTCAGACAATTTTGCAGGCATTATACCCGCTACCCCAGTGTCCAGAACCATCTCACCAACACAATCAGCAGAGTCCTTCTCCCCTTCCAGTGGCTCCCCTGCCTTTGCCAACACGTCCTTGGGGATGCGTTGCAGCATGACAAAGGCAGCATGCTCTTTCACCACCGGCTTAGCCGGCTTGCGGGGGATGACATCACTTTCAGCTTCTTCCTCTGAGTCCTCGGACGTAAACCTGAAGTCGGCTCCACGCAGCTCTGCAACCGCCTCTGCCAGGAACTGCAATCCGCCCACTATCTCCTCCTCCTCCACCTGGGTCCCCCAATCCACAGGCAGCTGCCCAGGGGGGAGGGACTCTGATGATCCTGCCACCACGCTGTCTTCCATGATAGACGCCATTTCCTCTGAGGGTGCTGTGGGCTCAACCTGCCCCTGCTCGCCTTCCACAGCAACTCCCCCGACAATTCCTCCACCGAAGAGGCCTCCTCCACCGGACCCCGCATCGCCGCAACACTGCGGCTTCTTGCAGCCTTAAATCTCGCTTCATTCAGATACTTCTCGCTTAGGACGCCGCTCTGGCGCTGCAGCGCCGCCACATACCTCCCCTGCTGTGACACACGAAGTTCCAGCGCCTCCAGGTCCGGTTTCATGGCCTGCCGCTTAGTAGACCATACACGGTCGTAGGATGACCGGAGCTTCTTTAGCTCCAGAGTCAGCTTCTGGAGCTTGGCTTCCTCCTTCTCTATTAACCTGGCCCGAGCGGCCACACGGTCCCGGTAGGCAGAATAAACTTCCCCCTTCCTAGGGGCCATTCCCAGGTCCTCTACTGGTGGAAAAGAGAGGCCGGTACTAGGCCCCTCCAGGGCCTTCTCCCCGCTGGACCCAGGCCCAGGATCCGCCATCCTGCCTGGGCTGGGCAGGGCACTTTAGCCCCAGGCTTCTCGGGCCTTTCTGGAGCTCAGCAGACAAGTGCAACACACCCTCTCTCAGGAATGAATTCACCATAATGGTGGGACTCAGCTGCCTTGTGATCTGCAGTACCAGGGCTGGCCAGCGGGTGCTCCCAGCAATCAGAGACTCAACTTTGCAGCCAGCTAACACCTGGAACTGATGATGCTGGGGTATTTAAGGGATGGCCAGACCCACAGACTCTGCCTTGGTGTTGTGTTTGTCCTGGGCCCTGTATCTGTCCTGCATCCTGTTTCTGTTCCTTTGCTGACTTCTCCTGCTCTGATCCTGGCTTGTGACCCTGACCATCCCTCTGTCTGACCCTCTGTACTACGCTGCTTGCTACCTGTTCTGATCCCTGGCTTGTGACCCGGACCATCCCTCTGCCTGACCCTCTGTACTATGCTGCTTGCTACCTGCTGAACCTGGCCTGTGACCCCGACCATTCTCCGCTTGCTCCCCCTGTACCTACCTGCCCAATTGATATTGACCCGGCCTGCCTGACGACGCTTGCTTGTATGTACTGTTATCTGTGGGTGGTTTGTGGTTTGGTTTGTTTGCACTGTATTATGTTTTAGTATTGCACTGCGTTTATGTTTGTACTGTTAGTGTTAATAAATTATATTGTTTATAACATATCTGAGGTCTGCGTTTCCCTGCTTCAGTCACACACCTCTGGTCATACCTGGGAGCCCTGACATTACACCAAGGCCAATCCTGACCAGAAGTGGCTGCACAGGGAAGCCATCTTGGCTTGTTGATGGGAAGGATGGATCTTGAGGAGGTTGAGTATTTATATCTGCTAGTGTTTGATGACAGGGAGTATGCTTATCAAACTCTGAAGGAGTATACCCGGGGATGAATTGCTAGAATGTATACGGCTCGCTCATGTTCTAGTAGATCAGGGCACAGTGTTCTCTGAGGTGCAGCCATTGATTGAGGTTTGTGCAGAGTTGGTTTCATCTGGTTCCCCCGAATGCAGGGATGAATTTTTGCCACCATTTAGTGCAGACCAGGTAGAGTCCCTGGTGTGGTTATTAGAGGATGATGTGGGTTACTTTCTGGAGCGTTATTCCACATGTTCACCACAGACACTGAGAGATTGTATAAACGCAGTGCAGTCATTGACCAGACAGACTTTGTGTAAGCTCAGCTTTGTTCAACCCCTACTGCAGACATGGACAGATTTGTTGCACCCAGCCTCAGTCAGCTTACAAAGACCCAGTCCTGCTTCTAACTCTACTCCTGTATTCCCACCAGCTCCTCCAGTTACAGCCCAGTATACTTGGCTATCTACCCGCATGTCAGTACCCTGTTCCCACTCGCTGCACCTATCCTGCCTTTAACCCTGTAAAAAAGCCCTCTGTAGCAACTGCTCCCTCTCCTGTTCCATCCTCCAGTTCTTCTCTGTCTCCAGCTGCTCCATTCGTTTGCAGACCTGCGTTTACTTGCAGTGCTCCAGTAGTTAAAACCAGAAAAAAGCGAAAATTCTTTCCAACCAGTACCATCCTGCCAGTATCCAAACCGGTGAACCTGCCTTCCGTGGTTCAGACTGATGCCTGTACGCAGCCTGAAGCCTGTACGCCTGAGCCTCTCTCGAAGCCTCTACTCGGCCTGAAGCCTCTACTCGAAGCCTAATGCCTCTACCCAGCATGATGAACTGATCCAGCCTGACGATCCTATTAGGCCAGTTGACTCGATGCCCGCTGTTGATCCAGATGATCCGGTACCTGATCCGGTGCCCGCTGTCGTGCCAATTGACTCAGAGCCCGCTGTCGTCGTACCTGGTGACTTGGTGCCCACTGCCTTGCCAGATGACGCGGTGCCCGCTGGCAAGCCAAATGACCTGATGCCTGGTGACCTAGTGTCCGCTGTCATACCTGATGACCCGATGCCCGCTGTCGAGCCAGACAATCCGGTACCTGATGACCCGGTGCCCACTGTCGGGCCTGTTGACTCGGAGACCACTGCCTTGCCAGATGACGCGGTGCCCGCTGTCGAGCCAAATGACCTGATGCCTGGTGACCCGATGCCCGCTGTCCAGCCAGACGATTCAATGTCTGCCCCAGTGCCCGCGGTCATGCCAGTTGACTCGGAGCCCACTGCCTTGCCAGATGACGCGGTGCCCGCTGGTCGAGCCAAATGACCTGATGCCTGGTGACCCGATGCCCGCTGTCCGGTCAGACGATCCAAATGTCTGACCCAGTGCCCGCGGTCATACCAGTTGACTCGGAGCCCACTGCCTTGCCAGATGACGCGGTGCCCGCTGTCGAGCCAAATGACCTGATGCCTGGTGACCCGATGCCCGCTGTCCAGCCAGACCATACAATGTCTGACCCAGTGCCTGCGGTCATACCAGTTGACTCGGAGCCCACTGTCGTGCCTGGTGACTCGGTGCCCGCCGCTCCGCCTGGGGGCCCGAGACCTGTTGCTCCGCTTGGGGTCCAGCGCCCGCCGCTCCGCCTGGGGATCCGGCGCCCGCCGCCCCGCCTGGGGGGGCCGAGACCTGTCGCTCCGCCTGAGGGCCCGAGCGAGACCTGTCGCTCCGCTCCGCCTGAGGGCCCGAGACCTGTCGCTCCACCTGGGGGTCCGGCGCCCGCCGCTCCGCCTGAGGGACCGAGACCTGTCGCTCCATCTGGGGGGTCCGGTGCCCGCCGCTCCGCCTGAGGGCCCGAGACCTGTCGCTCCTCCTGGGGGTCCGGCGCCCGCCGCTCCGCCTGTGGGCCCGAGACCTGTCGCTCCGCCTGGGGGTCCGGCGCCCGCCGCTCCGCCTGAGGGCCCGAGACCTGTCGCTCCACCTGGGGGTCCGGCGCCCGCCGCTCCGCCTGAGGGCCCGAGACCTGTCGCTCCATCTGGGGGTCCGGTGCCCGCCGCTCCGCCTGAGGGCCCGAGACCTGTCGCTCCTCCTGGGGGTCCGGCGCCCGCCGCTCCGCCTGTGGGCCCGAGACCTGTCGCTCTCCCTGGGGGTCCGGCGCCCGCCGCTCCGCCTGAGGGCCCGAGACCTGTCGCTCCACCTGGGGGTCCGGCGCCCGCCGCTCCGCCTGAGGGCCCGAGACCTGTCGCTCTCCATCTGGAGGTCCGGCGCCCGCCGCTCCGCCTGAGGGCCCGAGACCTGTCGCTCCGCCTGGGGGTCCGGCACCCGCCGCTCCCGCCTGAGGGCCCGAGACCTGTCGCTCCGCCTGGGGGTCCAGCGCCCGCCGCTCCGCCGCTCCGCCTGGGGGCACGATGCCTGTCGCCCCGCCTGGGGGCACGGTGCCTGTCGCCCCGCCTGGGGGCACGGTGCCTGTCGCCCCGCCTGGGGGCACGGTGCCTGTCGCCCCGCCTGGGGGCACGGTGCCTGTCGCCCCGCCCCGGGGCCCGGTGCCTGTAGCCCCGCCCGGGGGGGGCCCGGTGCCTGTAGCCCTGCCCGGGGGCCCGGTGCCTGCTGCCCCGCTGCCTGCTGCTTCGCCTGGTAATCCGATGTGCCTCTGCCCGGAGTCCTGCCCGATGTGCCCTCTGCCCGGAATCCTGCCCGATGTGCCTCTGCCCGGAGTCCTGCCCGATGTGCCTCTGCCCGGAGTCCTGCCCGATGTGCCTCTGCCCGGAGTCCTGCCCGATGTGCCTCTGCCCGGTGTGCCTCTGCCCGGAGTCCTGCCCGATGTGCCTCTGCCCGGAGTCCTGCCCGATGTGCCTCTGCCCGATGTGCCTCTGCCCGGAGTCCTGCCCGATGTGCCTCTGCCCGGTGTGCCTGCCCTGCTCGATGTGCCTCTGCCCGGAGTCCAGCCCGGTGTGCCGCTGCCCGGAGTCCTGCCCGGTGTGCCAGTCTTTGATATCCCGCCAGTTGCCAGACCCGGGCGGTGGAACATTTTGCCCAGCTAGGACTGTTTGGAGCGTCCTGAGGCCGCTCCTTGAGGGGGGGGTACTGTTAGGAATGGACTGGCCAGCAATGGTGGGACTCACCTGCCTTTTGATCTGCAGTACCAGGGCTGGCCAGCGGGTGTTCCCAGCAATCAGAGACTCAACTCTGCAGCCAGCTAACACCTGTAACTGATGATGCTGGGGTATTTAAGGGATGGCCAGACCCACAGACTCTGCCTTGGTGTTGTGTTTGTCCTGGGCCCTGTATCTGTCCTGCATCCTGTTTCTGTTCCTTTGCTGACTTCTCCTGCTCTGATCCTGGCTTGTGACCCTGACCATCCCTCTGTCTGACCCTCTGTACTACGCTGCTTGCTACCTGTTCTGATCCCTGGCTTGTGACCCGGACCATCCCTCTGCCTGACCCTCTGTACTATGCTGCTTGCTACCTGCTGAACCTGGCCTGTGACCCCGACCATTCCCCTTGCTCCCCCTGTACCTACCTGCCCAATTGATATTGACCCGCCTGCCTGACGACGCTTGCTTGTATGTACTGTTATCTGTGGGTGGTTTGGTTTGGTTTGTTTTTGCACTGTATTATGTTTTAGTATTGCACTGCGTTTATGTTTGTACTGTTAGTGTTAATAAATTATATTGTTTATCACATATCTGAGGTCTGCGTTTCCCTGCTTCAGTCACACACCTCTGGTCATACCTGGGAGCCCTGACAATCATATAGACCAACATAATTCACAATAGGCATGGGTACAAGATCAGAAACTGAAGAACTTATATTATGGAACATTAGGGACTCTTTAATGACATTGACATGGCATTGGATTGGCGTAAGGCCAATGTGGTGCCATTATTTAAAAAGGGGTCAAAATCTTTACCAAGTAATTATAGACCTGTTAGTTTAACTTCTATAGTTGGGATGATACTGGTGAGTTTAATTAAAAAAAGCAAGCACATAGATGAGTTCTTGCTGGAAAAAAAATTTTTTAAGCAACAGACAGCATAGATTCATGTTATAAGATATCTTCCTGCGCCTAGTGAGACACTCTACTACAGGTACTATCCTGCTGCTGTGCAATGTGAACAACACAAATGTATGAAAAAAATAAAAAAAACAGCGCAAAACATAGACCTCTACATAAAATCAAAAAAGTGCAAAAAAAAAAAAAATTTTTTTGTAAAACAAAATACAATTTAAATGGTGCAGTCCATCAAATTCTTATATAAATAGTGAAATCCATCAAAATAAACTAAAGTTCAAAAAATATTCAAAAATATATGTGCAAAAAAAGAAAAAAAAAAAAGGAAGAAATCTTTTCACATTCTTCTTGTAAAGAAACTTCCACCTTCCACCCGTGAAAACCAATATCAAATGCACTCACCAGATATAGGTGAATAAAACGCCTTTTAGGAATTTTATGGGATCCTACACCCTCTTTCGTATCCACTCTATAGGAATCCTCTCCTCCAACATGGGCTCCACCATCCGACCAGGGAGAAAAAAAATCTCAAATAGTGTGATATTGTAAGACACCATTTCATATGTGAAATCAAGGATTAAGGCCACTCACATTAATTTCACTTTAAAAAGGCATATTTATTAAGGCAAGCTTCTCTCCAGATGAACAGTGGATGCAAGGTAACCTCTCACAGAATCTCACATCACAGTCCCAGGTTCCAGCAGAAGCTCCACAGAGACCACACATATATAAATCCCACAAAGATGGCCGCTGGAACGCACCACTCAGCGTGCGCTCCACTCACCGAAAGTGACGTCGGATATGCAAAATAAAACCGGAAATGCGTCAACGCGTTTCGCCCCTCCCACAGGGCGTTCTCAAGACAATCATTTCCTGTTTGAAGCTCCCTTATATACCCAACTGGGACCCACCCCTCCGTTGTGATAGGTCTAAACCCTCCCCGGGATTATCAAAACAAACCACTCCTCCTGTGATGTAACGTGAGAATCCTTTACACATGAGGTCTATGCCTACATAATTCAGAATACTTATTAGAACCATTAGATTAATAAATTATATTGTTTTATCACATATCTGAGGTCTGCGTTTCCCTGCTTCAGTCACACACCTCTGGTCATACCTGGGAGCCCTGACAATCATATAGACCAACATAATTCACAATAGGCATGGGTACAAGATCAGAAACTGAAGAACTTATATTATGGAACATTAGGGACTCTTTAATGACATTGACATGGCATTGGATTGGCATAAGGCCAATGTGGTGCCATTATTTAAAAAGGGGTCAAAATCTTTACCAAGTAATTATAGACCTGTTAGTTTAACTTCTATAGTTGGGATGATACTGGTGAGTTTAATAAAAAAGCACATAGATGAGTTCTTGCTGGAAAAAAAATTTTTTTAAGCAACAGACAGCATAGATTCACGAAAGACAGAAGTTGTCAAACAAATCTGCTTTTTTTTTATGAGGAGGTGAGCAAAACCTTGGAGAGAGAGGTGGCGGTGGACGTGGTATACTTGGATTTTGCAAAAGCATTTGCCACAGTTCCCCCCACACATGGCTAATGTATAAGTTAAAGTCTATGGGCTTGGAAAAATCCGTATGTAACTGTAGAAAACTGGCTAAAAGATCGTATTCAGGGAGTAGTGGTTAATGAATCATACTCTGAATGTTCTAGGGTTGTCAGTGATGTACTCCAAGGTTCAGTGTTGGGACCCTTACTTTTTAATATATTTATAAACAATATAGGGTCTGGGATTATAAATCCTATTTCAGTCTTTGCAGATGACACCAAGCTGTGCAGTGGAATAACGTCCTTACAGGATGTCTCCAATTTACAAGCCGACCTCAATGCACTGTGTAATTGGGCAACTATGTGGCAAAGGAGGTTTAATGTTGATAAATGTAAGGTTATGCACTTGGGGCTAAGAATATGCATGCATCATACATACTAGGGGGGGTACAACGGGGGAATCAATGGTGGTGAAGAATCTGGGAGTTCTGGTAGATCATACACTTAATAATGGAATGCAATGCCAAGCTGCAGTTTCTAAAGTGAGCAAAATCCTCTCTTGTATTAAAAGAGGTATAGACTCCAGAGAGAGATATATCATATTACCCCTGTACAAATCATTAGTAACACCTCATCTGGAATATGCAGTTCAGTTTTGGGCACCAATTCACAAAAAGAACATTGGGGAACTGGAGAAAGTACCGAGAAGGGCAACTAAACTGATACAAGGCATGGAGGAGCTCAGCTATGAGGAAAGATTAGAGGAACTGAATTTATTCTCTCTCAAGAAGAGGAGATTAAGGGGGGATATGATCAACATGTATAAATACATCAGTGGTTAATATAGTGAACTCGATGTAGAGTTATTCACCCTGAGGTCATCACAGAGGACAAGGGGGCACTCTTTACGTCTGGAGGAAGAGAAATTTAATCTCCAAACACGGAAAGGTTTCTTCACAGTGAGAGCTGTGAAAATGT